GCTGGCCTCAAACTCAGAGATCCGCCTGCCTCTGCCTCCCAAGTGCTGGGATTAAAGGCGTGTGCCACCACTGCCCGACAAGGAATAGTTTTGAATTAGCCCACTTGGGGCTTGCCTGTAAGAGGCTGAGGCAGAAGGGCCACATGGTTCATTCGGGGTTAAATGGTAAGACCCTGTCTCAAGGAGAGAAAGACTGGTTTTAGTCAACTTCACTTGAGCCCATTATGTGTTTTGTTGGGTTCTCCTTTGAGTACCACCTCCAGCCAGTGACTGTCCCTGTCTGTACCAGGCTCCTCTATCCCTCCTGCTTTAATCCTCTTTCTGTTTACTGATCCAGGCCTCCAAAAGTCAGGACCGAAAGTCGGCTAGCCGGGAGAAGCGGTCTGTTGTGTCCTTTGACAAGGTTAAAGAGTCTCGAAAGTCCAGAGACTCAGAGTCACGGAGGTAAGTGTGCCTGTGTTGGCTGAGATGTAGGCACATCCAGGGCTCTGTGCTGAGGTTATTGCCATCAGTCTTTTACCCTCCTCAGAGACCATAGAAAGTTAACAGCACAGGCAAGGAACCAAGGATGTCCAGAAGGGACTTCACTCACCCAGGAAGGATCAGGGAAAGGATAGTTTGCCTAGCTGGGCACAGCACTGGTGCTGTGTGGCTGACAAAAGGCAGTTCCTAACATGACTTTTGCTCCAAGGAGTGTGTGTTGAAAGTGGGCACCAGGGCAGATAATCACCAAACCTCACACTGGGTTCCCACCATTCTGGGTAAGTGGCTGAGGAAGCCACTTCATACTTGGCTGCCAGGTTGATGGTAGACCTGTCATGCCAATCCTATTTAAGGAAGGAAGGTGGGGGCAGACAGGAGGCTGCAGCTGTAGTGCTGGGGACCCACCTGCTGTGAGGTGTTATCTCTTGTTTTTAACCTTGTGGGATTCTGTCCTTATTGTCCCTGCATGCCCTCACCTCCTCCCAGCAAGACTTCTGCCTCACTTGTCTCCCTCCGGGGCTCTCACTCAGGGAGCGGGAGCGGGAGCGCAGTGAGCGGGAGCAGAGGCTGCAGGCCCAGTGGGAGCGCGAGGAGCGAGAGCGCCTGGAGATTGCTCGTGAGCGCCTGGCATTCCACCGCCATCGCCTTGAGCGGGAGCGCATGGAGCGGGAACGGCTGGAACGGGAGCGGATGCATGTGGAACAAGAGCGGAGGCGTGAGCAAGAGCGCATTCACCGAGAGCGAGAGGAGCTTCGGCGGCAGCAGGAACTGCGCTATGAACAGGAACGCCGGCCTGCTGTGCGCAGGCCGTATGAAGTGGATGGCCGGTGAGCACTCAGAAATACAGGCTACCAGACCCTGTTTCAGAGGACTAGACCTGTGCTGGAATGTGGCAGGGCCCGGGTACTCATATTGTATTACACTTACTCACCTTACTCGGGGCCTGCTGTGACTATCAGTGTGTGAGAAATGCTATGTGTCAGCTCAGGGTAAGAGGAGCCTTGTGAAAAAATGGATACTCAGCACTACAATGGCACTGAAGCATAGATGGGGGGTTTCGTCAGGGCTTGGAGCCATGCTGGCTTTGTGCACGCTCTAGGGTGCCTCTTGAGCACTGATGGTCACACCTCTGCCTCCCACCCCTATCACAGGCGAGATGATGCCTATTGGCCAGAAGCTAAGCGGGCTGCGCTGGATGACCGTTACCACTCAGACTTCAGCCGCCAGGACCGCTTTCACGACTTTGACCACAGAGACAGAGGCCGCTATCCCAACCACTCTGTGGATAGGTGTGGGCGCATGGCCATGTTGGGAGGGCTGTGTGCATGCAAACCCTCTCGGTCTGGGTCTCACTGAAACCATCTTTTTTAGGAGAGAAGGTTCACGGTCGATGATGGGAGACAGAGAAGGACAGGTGAGCATAGAGTGCTGCTTCAGCTGTGGGATGGGTCCCCTGTCTATTGACTGCCATGTAGCACATTGTTACTGTTGAGCTTTCGTACAATGGCAACGGTGGCTACTGCCTGCCCACACACCCTATCCTATCCAGTAGGGAGGTTGCAGCCCTGTGTGCACTGCACTGCTCCTTGGGTAGGGTGACCCAAGGCCCCTGGCATCTGTATGATTGCTGGTCTCCCACTGCGTCAAGTTCTCACTGCCTCTCAATTCCCATCCTACACCCTTAGCTTCCCATTCCCAGGCTGGCACCAAGGGTACCTTGTCCCTCCCTCGCTGCTGTGGCCTACCTTGACATCAAGTGGGCATCCTGGTGTTGCCACTTTCCACACAGCTGTTTGTCTCTGTGGGAGCTGGGCATTAGCAGTGGCCCTTCCCCCAATGTGTTTGTTCCCCTGGGAGGGCAGGTGACAGTGTCTAGCTGAGGGCTAGGAAGGGAGGTAGTGGTGGCCCAGGGCTCCGGTGTCCCAGGCCTGTTTTATGGCCCAGCAGCTTGGGAAGCTGGGCTTCACTCAGTATCTCAGATCTTCTCCTGCCTTGGCCTTGAAGCAGGGTCTCAAGTCCAGGATTTGAGCTGGGCATGACTGAGACATCAAGGATAACCTGGGCTGTAGAGTGAGGCTTTGCACCTACAAGTTCGTGGGGGTGGGGGGGGTGTCAGTGTGCTCACTCTTCTCCTGAAGCAAGGGTACTGTGCACAGGCTGGGGCTCCTGTATAGAACCATGTAAACTTGACCCTTCATGAAGGAGGGCACTGTGACAGTAGCCACCTAGGTTGGTACCTGTGAAACACAGGTACTCTCTCACCTGGGGATTAGGGACGATACTGACCTCACCCATTTCTCTGTTCTAGCATTACCCTGAGCGCCATGGAGGACCTGAACGCCATGGCCGGGACTCTCGAGATGGCTGGGGCTATGGCTCGAACAAGAGACTGAGTGAAGGCCGGGGGCTGCCCCCTCCTCCCAGGTTTGTATTCCTAAGACCTGGTGGTGGTAGTGGTGGTGGAGTGACTGTCGGCCTACCTGGTATAACCTGAGCCCCCCCCTAGTTGCACTGTCTGCAGAGGTCATGCTGTGGCAACACAGGTCAGAGGTATCTCTTTCCAAGGGGCAGGCGTGACTGGGGGGAGCATGGCCGGAGACTTGAAGATGACCGGGCATGGCAGGGCACAGCTGATGGAGGCATGATGGAGCGTGATCACAAGAGGTGGCAAGGTAAGGACCCGTGGGAGCCAGGGCTGCTCACTGAGGAGGGACTGGGCTGCGGTGAGGTAGAGCTGGCTGAAGCCAGTGGGGCTTGTTGACTCTAGACCTGCCAAACTGCCCACTTGGACTTTTGTCCTGCAGGTGGTGAGAGGAGTATGTCTGGCCACTCAGGGCCTGGTCACATGATGAATCGTGGTGGCATGTCAGGGTGAGTGCCACACTGCCAAGTAGAGGCACTGTTGTTCTAGAGTGGTTGATTGGGGACCATTGGCCTCACAGTCCCCTGCTTCTCCTTAGGAGAGGCAGTTTTGCCCCTGGAGGAGCTTCTCGTGGCCACGTGATCCCACGTGGAGGGATGCAAGCAGGCTTTGGAGGACAGAGCCGGGGCAGCAGACCCAGCGACGCTCGCTTCACCCGTCGCTACTGAGCACATAAGCCACCCGGCCATGACCTCTACGTCCTATCAGGACTCCCCTCCCACCATTGTACAGAGGATTTTTTTTTAATCTGCTGCCATATTGTAGCTTGTTACGATGTGAATTTGTTTTCATTTTTGTTCCTGTTTTTTTTTGTAATAAAGGTGTTTCTGTTCATGTGCCCTTTACTTCAAACCTTCAACCTTAGTTAGCCTTTCATTTCCATGAGGAAAGTGGCACTCTACAAGCAGCCAGAGGTGGTGCCTATTCAATTCTGTGTGACTTGGCTGCCTCAGTCTGACATAAGAGAACTCAGGCTTGGGGCCAGCCATACTCCTGACCGTGTCTGACAGCATACCTGTGGTACTGGTATTGAGGTTGGAATTGCTGAGAATGCTGCTGGAGAGGGCATAGTCAAGTAGAGGACAGAGGTGCAGGCCATACATAGGACTCTGGATCACAGGCAGAGACAGCCCCTGATTTTAGGGCTTAAGACACGTCGTCGGCAGCTTTTCTGGACTTAACGTGATCCAATAAGGCCAATGCTAGATGCCTCCTGCAGCCCAGGGTGAACCTAGGACACGACAGTCTTGCGTCCAGCCAGCCCCCAGCCTCTGGGAATATGGTATGAGTAACAGGCCCTTTCCTAAGGTGGTCACATAACAAGCTGCAGAATTCCACGTGGCAGAGGCTAGGCCTGGAGTCTTCCCTCCATGGCTCCAGCCTCTTCTGGGCATGGCTGCCAGTCACAGCCTTCGGAGATACTACTAATGGAGGGAAGGGAACTCTCAGGCCTCAGACAACTGGTGCAACATAATACAAGAATGCTGGGGCAGGGTCCCTGGGGAAAAGGACGTTCACGGGGGGGTGAGGCTGGGAGTCCTGAATGGCTGTGACTAGTTTGGGCAATGGGATTGTCAAAAAGAACCGGTCCACTGCAAATGAAGCCCTTATTAAAGGCATTGCCAAATCCAGGCTCCCCCACACCACCTGCTCCATTCTACAGGCTGGACGGATAATTCCATGGCTAGGAGTTCAGATCCCAGCACCCATGACAGGGAGCTTACAACGGGACGGTGCCAGTGTGTATGTACAAGCATACACACAAGCACTAACTAAATTGAGACCTGCCTCGGTCAGATTGGGCTGTGGGGCATTTTCTTGATAGATGACTGATGTTGGAGGAACTGAGTACCACTATGGGTAAGTGGTCCTAGGTGCTGTTAGAAAGCAGGCTGAGCAAACCATGGAGAGCAAGTCTATAAACTAATTTTCCATGGCCTCTGCTTCAGTCCTGCCTCCAGGTTCCTGCCCTGACTTCCTTTAGTGATGGAGAATGACCTAAGAGTAACAAGCTGAAATAAACCCTTTCCTATCCAAGCTGCTTTTAGTCATGTTTTTTTTTATCACAGCAATACAAACACCAAGACACACAAAGTTTTTAAAAGTTAAAAGACAAAAGAAAAAAACCTTTCTGGGCTCCAAACATTACATCTGGAACATAGAGATCCCTGTTGGCCAGGACTCCTATAAAGCAAAGCCTGCCCGGAGCCAGGACCCACTCTACGTCCTCCCACCAGAACAACAGTTGGGGACCAATCCCAAGTCCTTTATTGGGCCAGCAATGCTGGAAGCTGCCCTCAGAGTGAGGTCTCCACTGGGATGTCTGTGGCATCCTGGCCTTGACCCCCATAATGATGGGGCAGGTGGCATCCATTACTTGGTGTGTTCTTTGACGTACTCCCAGCCCTCCTTGGAGTATTCTCGGGCTTTGGAGGGGGCCACGGACAAGGCTGCCATGACTGAGATGATGCCTGCAGAGACAGTGCACAAGTGCCAGTAAGGGCCCCACCTTGCCAGAGCCACTCTCAGCCAACCTCTAGGGAGCGAAAGAGCAGTAACTGGAACAGGAGTAGGACCAGCCCTTCTTCCAGTGTTCTTCTAAACTGTGACCCCTTCCCTATACCCTGTTTTAAAAGCAGGTTTCATCTCACTAATACAGTCTAAGGTTATCCTCAAACTTTCAATCCTTCTGCCTCAGCTCTTCCCAGTGCTGAGATTATAGACATCTGCAACATCCAGCTTTTCTTTGGAGACAAGATCTCATATATTCCATATGGCCCAGAATTCCCTATATAGTCAAAGATGACCTTGAATTCCTTCATCCTCTCGCCTGCACCCTCTGAGTGCTGGGATGACAGACCTACAAACACCATGCCTGATTCATGGGGTGCTGGGGATGGGACCCAGAGCTTTATGCATGCTTTACCACTGATCTACAACCCCAACCCCTTCGGTGTTTTTTTTGTTTTGTTTTGTTTTGTTTGTTGTTGTTTTTTTTGTTTTTGGGTTTTTTTTTTTGATATTTTGTTGTTTTTCCTATTTTTGAGAAAGGGTTTCTCTGTGTAGTTCTAGTTGTAGATCAAGATGGCCTTGAACCCACAACCTTCCTGTCTCAGCCTCCCAAATGCCAAAGTCACAGGCATGGGCCACCAGAGCCAGTCCTTTCTTAGTTCCATAGGTGACATACAGGCACACAAACAGACAAACATGGAGGAGTGGAAAGGAACAATGAGGTAAACAGGGCTGGGAGAGGCTGGGGTGCCTAGGCATCTCCTAAGCAGGGGCATAGGGGCCTACCTGAGTTCCAGGAATCACGGAAGTTCGGAAAGTTAATCTTTGGAGGGTTTGGGAGCTGGGAAGAAAGGAACACAGAGGCTGGTACGTGGGGACAGGTCACAGCCTTGTCTCCCAAACCCAGAAACACAAAACTCCACTAAGCAGGGGTGGAGGAGGCCTCAAGGACACCCAGAAGCAACCTGCACCCACTCCCAGCCAAGGTACCTGTGGCATCTCCAGACCTGTCTGCTGACACACATATTGGCTGAACTGGTACATTGCTGGTGGCACAACCTCCTCGGCTTTCCGCAGGGCAGCCTCGCTCTTGTCACTAGGCCCCAGCAGCTCCTGGTCATAAACAAGGTAGACTGCTCCTCCAGCTACACTTCCCTTGATGAGGAACCTGTGGGAACACAGGAAGGGAGATGCTGTGGGGGTGGGGTCTCCAGGGATCTGACAGTTTACCAGGAGACACGCTGGGAGCCCAGGGAAAATGATCATTTCATTTGCCTTTGTGACATGACTTTTTGTAGTAAACCGAGTCTTAAAGGAAGACTTCATTCGAAACCCTGCAGAGCAAAGGATAGTGGGCACTTATGATCCCTGTCGCAAATCCTTCCAGGGTGTCTGGCGGAGCTTCCTCACAAGTTACTCAAGCTCCGGAGAGAGGCGATGGGAAGGATTCCCTACGCATCTCAATTGCACAGAAGAGTAAACTGAGGCAGTAGGTGATAAGGGCTGGCTGAGAGGAAGAGGATCCAGTTAGCTTTGGCAGCAAGTCAGTTTCCCTACATAGACCGTGAGAAAGGTTCAAACACAACCAGACACCAACGCAGGACACTAAACAACGAGGGACAGGTGCCTACAGCAGTGAACTTTCTCAGGGCCTCCACGATTCTCCACGCACCTCATTAGCGACCACACACGAGCCACCATGGTCGGTCTCTCGCTTCACTCGCCGCGCAAGGACAAGCAATTCGCCCGCCGCTTCCGGTCGGTGTCGCTGCTGAGACTCCTGGGAAATGTAGTGGTCGCTATCAGCCGCAATGGACACCGGGAGCGGCAATAGCGTTAGACTCCGTATATCGAGGCCTGTGGCTGCCGCAATTCTTTCTGGGAAATGTATTGGGGGAAGACCAAAGGTCTAAGCCGCGAAGGCTCCTGGGAAATGTAGTCTGGAGGAACTACAGAAAAGAGCCCTCGGAAGACACTGGTAGGATTCCCCGCGCCCGCGCGGAGAATTGAGTGTTCCTGAGGTGAAGCAAGCCTAAGAGATGGTTACCACGGCAACTGCAGAGCTGGATTGTTCCAGAAACCGTTCACGTGAGCGGTTAGGGGTGTGGCTTTAACCTCGGAGGCGTGGAGAGGCTGCAGATGGTCTGGCCTGTAGGATGGACGCTTGCTGAGGTTATTGACTTGGTAAAGCCAGGGCTCCAGAGGGTCCCTGCCGGGTAGGATTCTTGGGGTCATGTGATAACGGGTTGACAGTGGGTGGTCCGGAGTACAAGGAGCTACATTGGGGTGAGAGGTGAGGCAGGAGGGGTTAGCGGCCAACCATGCAAGGGGGGCAATGAGGTAACGGTCATGTAGATTCCTGTTCTGCTGCAAGGTGAGGCCTGAGCAGATAAGTGCTCCATGTTGTCCGCACCATGGCCAAGGCAACTCAATAGAAGGAAAAGTTTACTGCTTACAGTTTCAGAGGTCCATGACCATCGTAACACGGAGCGTGACAGCAGGCAGACAGGGATGGCACGGGGGATGGCACTGGAGCAGCAGCTGAGAGCTTACATTCTGGTCCTAAGCATGAGGCAGAAAGGGACTACAGGGTGGGCTTTTGAAACCTAAAGTCCATACCAGTGCCCCCCCCCCCCCCGCCCCAGTAAACCTGTACTCCCAGTCCTTCCCAAACAGTTCTACCAACTGGGAACCAAGCATTCAAATAGATGAGACTGTAGGGACCGTTGTGATTCAGCCACACAGAAGCCCCCACAACTTTATTTATTTATTATTTATTATTTATTTCCGTGTTGGGTTTGGTTTGGCTTTGGTTGATTGTTGTTTGCTTGTTTGTTTACAGGCAAGGTTTCTCTGTTTAGCAGTCCTAGCTATCCTGGAACTCACTCTGTGGACCAGGCTGGCCTGAAGTTCACAATTCTGCCTGCATCTGCCTCTCAAGTGTTGGTATTAAAGTACATGCCTCCGCCACCCAGCTTTGTGGTTATTTTAGACAAGAGTCTTATTCTGTGTATGAGATTGGCCTGAAACTCATATGGACCAAGCTGGACCCACCTGCCTGGGCCTCCTCAGTCCTGCTTTTACAGATATGTCCAGTGTTCCTTCATGACTTAAAACTCTATGGTGACACTTTCTCTTTTTTCACTCAGAACTAAAAAAAAAACAAAAACAAACAAACAAAAAAAAAACAACCAACCCTCATGACTAAGAAAAAAATGGGTGGGAGGAATCTAGAACATGTCAAGGTAGCAAGTAGGTTGGCAGTAGTACTTAGGAAGTTTATCTTTGGACCTAAGATTTGAAAGAATTAAGTTTTAGGGAAGAGCACCCAAGTGGAGAACACAGCCAGTGCACAGATCCTGGGACAAAGCTGAGCAGACTCAGCAGTTTGGGCTGGTCCCTGGAGGACGCTTTAACAGCCCCAGAGGCCCAGGGCTTTGTTCCTTCCCCACTACCAGAATGACCAGAGTGAGTGGTTGTAGGTCTCGGTTTGAACTTAAAATTGAAAAAATGTCACTGTCCCAGGACACATCCTGGGAAGGGCACATTCCTTAGTCAGAAGACACTTGCTGGATTAACATTCAGAGGAGGAAGGGAGAGGCTGATTAACATTCCTCTGACCACAGAGGAGGGGACCTACCTTCGGGTGAAGAGAGCCCAGAGCAAGTAGACAGACAAGAGAGATCCTTGCCACCTCATTCCCCAAAGACCAATCAGTTTAAAAGTCACACTGTTCCGCCAATCGTATTGTGCCTAGTCACTGTTTCTCTATTCTACCCCTTAAACTGTATAAAAACTATTCTTAGCTCCAACTCGGGGTTCTCTTCTTGCTTGCATGGGAGAGAACCCCAGTATACTGGAATCATTAAACCTCATGTTATTGCAGCAAGTCCCGTCTGTGAGTTTCTGTGGGAGCGCATACCCTGGTTTTGGATCTTAGAATCCAACATGGTCTGAGGAGAAAGGTAGGATGCTGGCAGCAGGACATCTTTCTTATGGCCCACTGGACCACCACCTAGTGTTCCTGTCTCCACCAAGGCCCTCACACTGAGGCAAGCTTCCCTATGTGCCATTTGACGCAGTGTACGCATGCAGGGTTGGGATTGGGTAGAAGACAGAGTGTTAGTGGGGAGGAGTGGGGAGAACTTGAGAGTATTTCCTTGTAATTGTTCAAGACCTCCCAGAGCTTGTTTCTTCCCGGGCTAAACGTCAACAGGAATATACCTCGCAGTTTGTGCTTGCTAACAGAAACCCACCGATGGATAGTCAGAAGCAGCAAGGGTGGAGATTCAGCCAAATGCTCTGTGGACCTGCAAATGGAGGGTGACATTGGAGGAGGCGTCCTGGGCATCCAGCAATACCTACTCTCCATGGGCTTGCCTCTTGGATACTAGGCCCTGCCCCTGCCCAACTTGGTTTCTGCCCTCAGCTCCCTCTCAAGTTTAGACTACCTCGGGTGTTCAAGTCCCGCCCCTGCGGTGTTCTACTGGCCACTCCCCACACACCCACACAACTTTGGTCTGGACCTCAGGTCCTGTTCAAGTTTCCCATCCCTCTTGTGTAAATGGCACCGCCCCTACCCAGGTTGGCACCGCCCCGGATCCTCTTCAATTTTCTCCTCTCTTCTGTGTTCTAGGCCCCGCCTCTGCACATCTTTGCCTCACTCGGGCTCCTGCTCAGGTTTCCTCTACTCCTGTGTTCTAGGCCCGATTCCTGTCCTCCTTGGACTCCTCTCAGGCCTGATCCCCAGCTCAGCCACCCTAGGGTACCAGGTTGGACCCTCTTGGCAAACAGGCTGAGGCTCCCCATGAGGACCTTGGCTTCACCCCAAGGTTATCGACAGACCCCGCCTATCTGCGTTGGCCCCTCTTACTCTGGTCTTAGTGCTTGCTCTCCTGACTAGTTTTGCCCTCTGCATACTCCAGAGTACTGCAGCCTGGTATACCCATGCCCTGCTTTGTAATGAGAATTGGGCTCTCATATGTACTTTACTGTTCAAATTCCTCAGGCTGACAGAGCGTGGAGTGTGGAAAGCTGAGGCAAGAGAGGAGGCTGCGGCCGGGCGGTGGTGGTGCACGCCTTTAATCCCAGCATTTGGGAGGCAGAGGCAGGCGGATCTCTTGAGTTCGAGAGTTCGAGGCTAGCCTGGTCTACAGAGTGAGTTCCAGGACAGCCAGGGCTACACAGAGAAACCCTGTCTCGAAAAAAAAAACAAAAAAGAAAAAAAGAGAGGAGGCTGCGGGTACAGCTCTGCGGCACTTGATCTGCATAAGATGGGTGTGGTACACGCCTGTCTTTATCAAGAAGGTCAGATGTTTGAGACAGCCTGGGCTTCACAAGACAATAACTCACAGGAAAAAAAAAAATCGAGGAAGGAGAGGAGTGACGGGCACAGCCTATGATTCTAGATGACTTGCATCCCTCTTATTCCAGTTTCAAGCCAAGGACACCTGGGGACGCGAAGCTCCTTCAACGGAACTCAAGTCTTAGTTCCTGAGGGTTATTCTGTTGATCGGGCAGATCTGTAGTGACAGATCTATTGATCTGTTCGATCCAGAAACCTCCATGACAAAGGCGAACTGAGGCCCGTAAACTGACCTCTGACCTCGGCAAGTTTGTGGTGGTTCATGCTGCTCCCAACCCCTAAATAAATGTTTTTAAAAATGGCAGGAGTTTTGGGGTCTAGCTTATTAGCACTTGCTAATATAACAACAGACCAGGTTTGAGTCCCTGCACCCACGAGATGGACAGACACACACATGCAGGCAAAACATTTTTACACAAAAATCATATATTTTTTAAAATTTTTTTTGTTTGTTTTTCGAGACAGTGTTTCTCTGTATAGACCTGGCTGTCCTGGAACTCACTCTGTAGACCAGGCTGGCCTTGAACTCAGAAATCCACCTGCCTCTGCCTCCCAAGTGCTGAGATTAAAGGCGTGCGCCACCACCGCCCGGCCAATTTTTTAATTTTTAAAATTACATTTATGTGTTTGCTTTTTCACCTGCATTTATGTCAGTGCACCGCGTGCATGTATGTTGTCCACGGAAGTCAAAAGAGGACATGAGCCCAGGAAACGAATTACATATGTTTTAGAACCATTGTTGTGAATACTTAAATTTGAACCCAGGAAGTAAACCAAGTGCTCTTAAACCTCTGTGGCATCTCTCTAGCCCAAGAATAAAAAAAAACAATTGTTTTTGAGACCAGGTTTCTTTGTGTAGGTTTCCCTGACTGTCCTCTGTAGACTAGGCTGGCCTTGGAACTGAGAGATCTGCCTACCTCTGTTTCCTGAGTGCAGGGATCAAAGGCGGGCACCACCACCAGGTTATAAAAGACAAAAACAAACAAAAACCAAACACTTTTTAAAATGATTTGTTTATTTATTTAGTATGTATAAAGCGCTCTGCCTGCATGTATCCCAGCAGGCAAGAAGAGGGCACTGGATTTCATTATAGATGGTTATGAGCCACTATGTGGTTGCTGGGAATTAAACTCAGGAACTCTGGAAGAGCAGACTGTGAAGGCTCTTAACCTCTGAGCCATTTCTACAGCGCCTCCTCTCCTCAAAAGCACTTTTATTGTCAGAGATTAAGTTACTTCAACAGCCCACAATAGTGAGAGGCGGGATTCGAATTCCTAACCTGAGGGAAGAGTCTCAAGCCACGAGCATGATTGCACAGGCTCACGGGTGCCGCAGAACCTCCGGCCACCAGAGGTCGCTAGTAGTGTAGTGCGCCTGTCTCTCTGGCCCGAGAAGCCAACGAGCGGCATATATCCCAGGATTCTGCGCGGTGCCGTT